GATGCCCTCTCGAGTGATTGTTTATGATAACTTAGGATAAATGTAGGGAAATCATAGGTACTGTAAGTGTAGAGTCGGTTTATAGTGTTACAGAAAAAGGCGGTCGAAGGGTTTTCTATAGAATTTAAGGTGGTGAAGCTTCAATAGAGCTTTTTGCCCCAAAACGTTTCAACTTGTATGAAGAAATTTCATACATTTAAGAATTTATGTCGATATCCCAACATTGATATATCGGTGATACCTACTAACCAATAACTTGCTCATACTTTATCATTCGCACCGTTGTGGGGCGGAGTTTGCGCGGTGGGCGTGGTTTATGGGATGAAGGCAGAAGAACCAGGCCTATTGCAAAAAGTTTTTTGAAAATAGTAATTAGAATTACTATTTGAGGTAGTGATAAAATTTGTTTCTATAAACGTCCACGGAGAAAAATCCTGCACGCCTTCCATGGTGAAAGGGGTGAGAAAGTTGAACTAAATTTTCCAGAGTTCAAAAGTGTGCCAATGTGAAAGTATGTGCTCTTAAAATCTGAATAGTTGAGCCTTCCATGAACAGCTTCCAAGTTCCCCAACTCATGTCCTCCCATAGTGGTGTCATGGCCTTTTGGTCCTCTGCAAGTAGCGCTTTTGAGTTAAAATTATAGTATCACTTCACTAGTTCACCTGTCATTACCACTTGGACAACTCGGACGTTTACAGGTGGGCCAGAAACGTGGTTTCACGATAGCGAATCCAGGTGGTCGTGCCGCTGAATGCAACGTCGTCGTCATCGGTGAGTAAAACGCTTCACGTCAGACAGATGCTTGTCGCAAGTCTGATGAAAATTCTTCTTCTCCTTCTTCTGACTTCTGTATCCCTTGCGACAATCATCTGGCCTGTCTGCACAGTCAATGTTGGTCGTTCCTCGGTTTGCTGGTCTCTTCTGGGTTGCGGGTGGTTCTGTTGGATTCTGTTTATGTGGGGGTTGTGTGTTGTGTGTGGTCTGTGTTACGTGGTGTCCCTATGGTGCAGCTCCAAATGGTTCAAAACTTCCTGTTACTACTACGGCTACTGGAAAGGAATCATTTTATGCAGAATTCACGCCAACAGTCAAAGGTTTGTCAACTCTTCAGTCAAGCTTTCAGGAGCCTCTCAGAAAACCGAAAGTTTCAGGTACTCATGAAATAAATATTTATACTGATAAAGAAAAAGTAAATGAGATGCCCATACTGTTGGCCGTAGGAGCTGGAAAAGCCTCGTTCCCATCGACCTGTCTTGTTGGAAGGCGATACTCATTTGATGGTGAGCGCTTACTTTACATATGTCTACTGGTATATAAAAGTAATCCTTTTTTCAGTTGAGGCTGATAATAAAGATGCTGTACGGGTGGATATTCGTGATCCCCATGGGCGATCACTCCCTGTACAGATTGAACAGCTGCCAGACAAACTTGTTCGAGCTTCTTGTCGTTTCCGAGAGGTATACTCACTTGTTTATTGTGTTTGTTGTTTTCCCCGATAATCATAGCTGTATTATGTTTTGTTTTCGCAAAATTCAGAGAATCTTTTTTTTTTCAAAGTGTTTTAAAGGAAGCTCGAAGTCCGCTTTGAGTTTCTCCTGTTTTCAAGCCACTGGCAGGAGTTAAATAGGTAACGCTACCTATCGTTGTACACGCCAGTAGCATAAG